ACGACGCTCTTCCGATAAAAGTTCAAATGTTTTAAATACTGTTTTCTCAAAACAGACCATTTCGTGCTTTGAGATAAGACGGCCAAGACCAATTTGATCAGTTAATGTGTTTTTTATGCATAGTGCTTCAGCAGTTGACTTATATAGGCCTAGAGCTCAGCGGAAACATATAAATTATAGCATCTGACCAATGAGAATTTCGCGTCACGATTTGAGACGCAGATATTCAAATTCATTAGTCATCGATGCAGGCTCTCAATTCAGCTTGAGAGCCTGTTCGCAGGCTACACAGTGGAGGAGTACCTAGTTTTATTTCATAGATCAGTGCAATGAATTAATAACTACAAGTTTTAGACATATCGTGGTTCTCCTGTCATGAAATCCTAGTAGATAAATTTAATTTTTTTAACAATCAGCATTTTTAATTTTTCGTCAATCCGCATCTGCCAACGTAACTTCTTCGGAATTTGTCATCCCCACAGTTCCATCTTCCAGAGCTTCATCCTCTTTCACCTCAATTTACATAATTCCAAATCGTGTCAGAATTATTGGTTACATTGCATGTCATGCCCAGTGAAGGTACGTTTACACGCTGCGATTTGTCGTATATGATTGTCATTCTGGAGTATGAGATTAAAATTACTTCTAATGTCACAAGTCCACGTTGTTCAGTTTGTTGGCGAAATTTGAAATGCGACCATTTTACCTGTGCGTATTTTTTGTACACACCAGAATACGAATTGTACACCACAAATAGCAGCATGTAAACCTACCTTAATCGGGAAAGTAATAAACCTAATCCTACCGTAACCATGGCCAGAAATGAAGGACAACATGGCTGACAAGCATGCGCGTTAAGCTTACACCAAATAAATTCAAAATGGCGGCGTTATATAGATTTGATAAGAGAAAATTCAATATACGCATTTTGTGTTCGATCCCGTAATGAAATTACACGGTCCCACGTCTAAACATTTATCAAATAAGGCCAGTATTAACTCCCGAAAATCTAGCGACAATCCCAGTAGCGTAAATATGTTCCCGAGAGATTTATATTTCTACTTCTCGCTTTGTATATAAACGCCCAATAAATCCACATGATTTGCCAAAATGAGGTTTTCCAATACGTAAATTTGGCCACATATGGTCGACTTTTCGCACGGTCCCACGTCTACGTATATTCGAGGTGCACAATACTTTCCTTTGAGC